TGAGAGAGAATAAATAAGACAGCCCAATATTTAAAAAAATATCTATTCTTTTTCGCAACTTTCCGCATATTTCGCAACTTCCCGCAATTTCACCGCATAAAATCACATAAAAACCCTGCATGTTTAATCGCATAATCAAGTATTTTTGCCCGCGTTTTTCTGGAGGGTCTAAGCAGTGGTTCTCAAATGGAGGTACGCGGACCCCTAGGGGTATGTTGGAGTACTGCAGGGGGCACGCGAGATTTATTTTAAGTTAATGAAAAAAACAAACATAAGTAATGCATTTAAACAAACTACTAATAGTAGATGAACTACTTTATTCAAAAGTTTACAGTAATTCTGGATAATAAAATGGGAAAAGTAAACGGGGTGCTCTCTTTTCCTCTCCTTACAGCCCGTCAGTCTCGTGCAGCTCGCTGAACCTGTACTAAGTGACCCGACAGTAAAGAATAAACATATGTATAACTAGTGTAGCTAGTTCCAGAGTAGATAAACTAGCTAAGTGTGTTAGGTCTAACTCTAAGTGTATTTTGCTCCGCTCAACGGTCCGTCAGACTTCACTCGCGTTTATGTCCAAATCGATCAGATCTAGCTAGTTCTAGTTAATGAAATGACAGCCTGCTTATCAAAAGGACCTAAACAATAAGCGTTGCTTGTTTATATGAGGGGTCAAAATCCCATGCTCATAAAATGCTCATATTTGATTCTCTTCATTCCCCACGCCCCAAAATAAAGAAATATACCAATTTTAGGAAAAGTAACGAAGTTTGAGCAGTGTGGGTTTTATATTAACTAGAGTTACGCATATTTCAAAACACGAAGTGTAATAACTGCAGTCAGCCTCCCTGTCAGAATGAAAAAGATCTCAGAGCCCATGTTTCTCACTAAATTGTAAGTACAACTTATTAAATAGATCAGTCCAATGCAACTAATGTCGTCTTAGTGTTATTGCATGATGTTAAAATTGATTGCCATGAATTTAGTGATGGATTCTAAACATTTGAAATGTAGCATTTAAGTGTTTCTCAGTTAAAAGGTTGTTGTTTTAATAAATCAGACACTGATGGTGCAGCGCTGTACTGTACCTCTATATATAGGATTTTTTCCTAACAAATTGTTTTTGCGCTGATCAGGGGTACCGGTACGTGGCTGAATTTGTACATTATTGAAAAAACTTTGAGAACCACTGCTCTAGGGCATATTTCGATTCAAAACAATTCCTAATTTAAAATCTATTCGGGATTTTTGAAAAGTTATTATTATTTTTCATTTGACAGTGATAAAGAAAAACTAATTTAAACAACTGGTAAGCTGAGGCTATCTGTCTTTTTACTTCTTAAAAACTTGATTTCAAAATTACATTGAAGAAAGATAACTGCTTGCCACAACTTCCATATGGTGTTTAGGATTCATGTTTACAAGTAACAATATCTAGACTCTTCTGGAAAAAAGAATGTTTCAAAAATCTTGGATAATAATCTTACATCAATATTGTTTTCCCCATCCCTCATTTGACGTCATTTTACAGACAAAAACATGACTTGTCAAATACAAAAATGAACAGGTAAGATGACCATGACAATAACCGTTTGGTTAAATAAAAAACATTTAAAGAACTAAAAACTTTTTGGGGGGATATTGGGAAAATATATTTGGGTGAGCTGCAAAATTATTGAATTTATTTGTCTCCCTTCCATAAGTTGACCTGCAGGAAACACATCAGATCTCAGCAGCTCTTACCTTTCTGAGCACGTCTTTGAGCTGCAGGTGGTCTTGCAGGAGTCTTCCTGAGTAAACCAGCCGCTGGTCTTTGGACAGCTGCAACACAAACAACATGAAGGTTGAGAGTAAGGAATACAAAGTGCATTTAGGTCACTCGTCGGCCCTTCTATCATTTCCACATAACAATCCTTTCTTCACCGTGTAACCAGATAAGGGTGGTTCTGCCGTGTAGAGAAAAGGCCTGAGAGTAAAAACCCAACCCAACAGAGGTTCAAAGTGTCTCCAAGCTCATAATAAAGCCTCGAGTGAAACCCTGCTCTGTGCTCTGCAGATAATACATTTGAAGGTGACAATTTCATCAGAAGCAGGACAAACTCCATGTGCCGATGAATATCAAGTTATATGATCATAAGCATCAGAACTGCTTCAACATGGAGGGCTTGGTGAGGTCCAAAATGTCTTTGTGTCATCGCTGACGGAGAGCAGAAACATCAGCCTATTGAAAACAAAACATGTTCCTCTCTTACGGCCCGTCCACACAGCGGCGTGCGTTGAAGCTTGCCGGTGGGCGTGCCTGAAACTCGACCAACAACCAATCACATGAATCTCCCGCCCCTGAGACACAAGCAGCGCTTTGATTGGCTAGAGCTTGTACTGGCATATGATTCGATTGGCTGACGCTTCTGCCGAGGCTTCAAAAGTTGAACATTGCTCAACTTTTGCAACGAGCCACGCCAGCAAAGCTCCGCGTCGCTTCCCACAATGCAGTTCGGCGAAAAGTGAGGTCACCCCATTCAAAGTGAATGGTGAAGCTTTCAACGCACGCCGCTGTGTAGACGGGCCGTTCTGTTTCTGTTTGCAGCTGTGTGCGGGAGAGGTTGTTGCTGTGTGGAGGTTGTAACATGATATGAGGCACGTTTGAATTACATTAGCTGGGAAAGAGATTAGATTTCAAATTTCACAAAAGCACGCCCAGTTTACACAATCATCATCTCTGTGCTTCACAAGGCTCTGTGCTGAATGTCACTTTCCAAAGGACACTTTCCCACGATAGCAGATAAATACAAATGAATGATTGTATTGAGGTGCGTTGGCTTTTATCATTAAGCTCCTTTCTCCTTTGCAGCACCATCTGATTATTTTGACACAAACAAACTAGTTGGGGCTCAAACCTTCACTGACATTTGAATACCTGTTACTTGTTGCTAGGGTGTCAAAGCTTTGTATGTTCTTGTTAAGATGACCAAACGAAACAGAAACACCTTTGAAGGGTGGGTTTTTCCAGACTGTTGAAATACAGATACACATATTTTGAAGATTCTGCAGAGATTTAAGGTGTAGAAACATACTGTATATGTAAACTAAGGTCTGCATTTGATGAATAATTACCTAAAGAGGATATTATTTTTAAATAATGTGTGAGCAGGAGGCCCGACAAACCAACACAAAGCACCTGTGAACGACCTCTACTACACAGTCGTCACTGAGAATAAAGACAGCAGCATTGTGTTGAGTGTTACTGATTGTTTGGAACCTTCTGAGCGTACAGGAAGTGGATTATGCTGCGGGACTGGTTTGAAAAGTATTTTTCGTCACAGTAAAACAACAGCTGAATTTAGAGCTGAAATGGTGAGTACATCGAACAGAACATTAACAGCATGCTAACATTTTCAAGAAAATACGACATCTGTTCGGTTCCAGTGTTAAAAAATGTGAGAAATGTCTAACATGATGGTGAATAAAATATCTGTTGGTTTTGGACTGCTGGACTGAAGGCAAAACAATACATTTGAAGAACTCTAGGAAATGTGTTGCATTGGTTTAACTGTTTTGGAGAATAGCCGTTTAATCAATCAATTGAGAAACTGAATAGAAAATGTATTAATAAAACATAATTATTAGTCAGTAATGGGTATCCAGAATAAGTTGTTAAGAGAACCTGTTCCTACTGTAGTTGTCCAGAAGTATGGTTTTATTGTCTCGTGCTTTTACATTTGTTTTCCTGTCCTATCGGTTTTGTCTAAATGTATTTATTCTGCTATTTATAAATATATTGATGTACAGCACTTTGGTCAACTCTGTGGTTTTTAAATGTGCTATATAAATAAAGTTGGATTGGAGGTAGAAGTACACGAAAGGAAACCAGAGAAGGTGGAGAGCTACTCACCGGCTTGCTGGGGTACACGTTGGAGATGTGAGTCTTCAGCCTCTCCACGGTCCAGTTGAGGAAGCAGTTTATGGTCTGGTCTTCATACTTCTGGTTGGGGGCCTTGAGGACTAGGGTCACAGGACTATCAACTGCCCAGGAGTCCATGGCTCATATTACTAGCAGGCTCTGAAGAACCTGAGCTTAGTGTTACAACCCAGGACTGACCTGAGGAGGAAGGGACTTCAAATCCTCTCCATGCTGGACTCAGCTAAATCACACCTCAAACTGTCCCTGCAAACAGACGAGGGGGGGTTTCCATTTACAACATCTCTGTATGAGAAGTTGGTGGTTTCCAAGTTTATCGATGGGAATTCTTCTGTGGTGTTAGTTCTTTGATTTCTGGTAAAAAAAGAAAAGAAAAGAGGAAGAGTCCCTGAGCTGTGGAGGAGGTATTTGATACAGGATAAAATGATCACATTAAAACAACATGTATAAATCTAATATAGTTTTTTTTAGGGATGCTCCGATCGCCGGAATCAGTATCGGCCGATACCGATCGAGTGGGCGGGGCCTATGGGGATCTTCCATTTAAAGTGATGTTTAAAACTCAGTTAATGGGGCTCATTCACTGGCGCTTCCACAAACAACAGCATTATTACATTTAAATGAAGTACATTATTCAAGTTTACATTAACTTTGGAGAATAACACGGGAGAAATCAGCGGAAGCGCTCTCTTTTCCTCTCTCTCTCTCCTGACAGCCTGTCAGTATCGTCTCATGCAGCTCACTGATCCAGTAATGAGTGACCCGACAGTNTCTCTCTTCCTCTCTCTCTCTCCTGACAGCCTGTCAGTATCGTCTCATGCAGCTCACTGATCCAGTAATGAGTGACCCGACAGTGAAGAATAAATATATGTATAACTAGTTCATCTTGTTCCAGAGGTAGATCAAATAGCTAAGTGTGTTAGGTCTAACTCTTGGTGTGTGTTGCTCCGCTCACCGGTCCGTCACAGCGGGCGGAGCTGCAGGATTTCTGCTTCACACACGTTGCATAGCATACCGCTAGTTTATTGTCATTTTCGGACAAAATACTGCCAGACTGGTGAAGCCATTTAGGCGAGCTTGTTTTGCCGCACAGAGAAAAGTGTTGTGTATTTTACGTCATGCGATCGGCCTTTTTAGAGAGCACCGATCGATCGGCAGAGAGTGAGTATCGGCTGATATCGATCGGCGGGCGATCGATCGGAGCATCCCTAGTTTTTTTCATACACATAATTAACGTTTTATTTAAGTTATGTCTAATGTTCTGTCAGTTGTTATACCCTGGTCCTGATAGAAACTAAATTATTTCAGCTATGTTTTTTTATGAATTCAGAGGCTGTAGTTTGAATCAACACCACTTTAAACCGAGTGTAATGACGGCATAACTTATTGCCGGGTTGTTTCTATATGGGAAAAAACCACAATGTTGTTTTCCAATAAAGTGTCCGTCTGTCTCTGAATACCCTCCAGTTGGCACAACATGTCTGTGGCACTAAAAAATATTTTAATGAAGAGATGCAATTTTAAAAAGTGGTTATTCAAGTTATATCTTAAAACAACTTGGCCTCTTATAAATGTGTGTGTTTTTACTAAAAAAGTATGTTTAACAAAAAAACAGTTCCTTGGCAAAAACATATCGACATAGTGTTATGATACAAGTAGGAGGATTCCAAAGAGTCTCACCTTTACATATTAACCTGACAGAACAAGCAGTAACTAGTTAAGATGAGCATGGAGGATGCGGCTCAGAAGATTCTAGTTTAGTTCATAATATGATGCACTTCTGTAGTTTGTAGGCAAAAACTAGAGGTGGAAAAAGTACTCGGATCTTGTACTTGAGTAAAAGTAGAAGTACCAGAGTGTAGAAATACTGTTATGTCCTGCATTCAAAATGTTTCTCAAGTAAAAGTAGAAAAGTATTATCATCAGAAATTACTTAAACTATCAAAAGTAGTCATTGTGCAGATTGGTCCATTTCAGAATAATATATATGATATGTTTTATAATGATTGATCATGAAAGTGTTATCAAAGCTGGTAAAGGTGCAGCTAGTTTGAATGACTTTGTATACTGCAGGGTAGCTTGTGAATTTACTCCAGGTGGAACTAAAGTCTGATTTAAGTGTTGATCATATTAAACTTAATTAATCCAAATATATAAAGTAACTTAAGGAGTAACAGTACACAATTTACCTCTGAATTGTAGTGGGGTAGAAGTACAAAGTATCAAAACATGGGAAATACTCAAGTAAAGTACCTCAACATTTTACTTAAGTAAAGTACTTGAGTACATATAGTTAATTAGTTAGTTATAGTTCATTTACACTAGACTAGTGGCAAAAACATTGAAGCATAAAAAACGCGGATAAAGTTGGAATTTCATTTTGACTTCCTGACACCTGAGATGTTGCGTCATCTTTACAGAATACTGTCAAAACAATGAACTAACTATAAATCATCCCGAGCCCGAGGCAAACTGAATCCGGGGATTAATATCATAATACACTGTTAACCAATACTACTCTAGTGTTCACAAAGCAACAAACACAATCATTCCTAGCTTTAAAAGCCAAGTATTCACTCCTGCTTAGGTGTTTGACCCTTCGTGAAAGCAGGAGAAAGTGTTAGCTTGTTGGCTAACACGTTAGCTTAGATGTTGCTAGGTAGAATATTCGGTTGGCGTTGCTAACCGTTGGCCGCAGTGAAAACACATTTAACGGTATTAGTTTAACGACATGAAGACGGTCTATAAGTATCAGAAGAGGTTTATTATAGTACCTGTTTTTTACTCTGGCTGTGTTACCGTCGTCTCTTCTTCCCAGCTCCCTTGTTGTTGTAATGTCGGGTGTGAGACCGGAAGCCACGACATCATCTTCCTCACAACAGCTGATCAGGGGAAACAATCCAGAGGTAAAGGAACTAAGCAATACTACACTGTAAAAATACTCTGTTACAAGTACAAGTCCTGGTTTAACCCATAAGAACCCGGACCCATTTCTACTTTTGGGGAAATTAAGAGGAACATAATTTAGACTAAATAGACCACCTAGAACACATTTCTGACAAGAAACCCCCCCTAGTGTCAAATATCTGAAATGTGACATTATGTGACATTGGGCTTTAATGGTAAAACATCTCTTATTTATAACTTAATTAATGAGGATGATTTGGTTGGTTTAAATTAGTTTGAACATTCTTTGAATTGAAGAATAAAGAATATATTAACTCAATATAATTGAATCAGCTAAATTAACTGAGCACATTCTAATTGTGCGTATATCTCACTTTGGGTTTACTGTGAAAGTGTAGGGTCCCGATGTGACACCAGTGTCACCGCGATGTTTGTCTCATTTGTTTCATATACATTTGATCAATAAATGTTTCCACAACAGGTTAAATGTAATAAAGGACATTTTCATTCTTAAATGGCTTGAATTTTGCTTTTAGCAACCAACAAAAAAGCTTGTGAAATGTAGCTAGTCGTTCGGTCACACGTGTTAGCCTGGCACATGGACATGTTGGACATGTTATTATGGGAACACAAAGTCACAAAATCAAATGTCCTGGACCATGTGTGTCACTTAGGGACTTCATTTTATTCATGAGATAAAATAAAGGCTATGTGGTATAAGGAACTTTCCAGAACATTTAAAGTTAATGTGACACCCGTGTCACGGTGGGTCCTTATGAGTTAAATTAAGAAAAAACACTTTATTTTTTATGTCGTTACAGTTTTTTCCAATACTGGCATTGTCGCAGTACACCATGCTGTTCTTAGCGCTGTCAAAATTCTTTAAAAGCCCTCATTAAAAACCTCCACATTAAACATAATAGCAGTCGTTACCTGAGCGGGGAAACCGCACCATGTCTGCTGCAGACATTAATGTTAGCGGTCGAGCTATTTTTGCCTTGAGATGTCTCCCTGCTGGCTAATGGGATACACAAAGTCTTCAGCACTGGATATCATAGCTCCATCTGTTTGTATTGTAAGCCAGTAGAAGTCAGCACCGGGGCGTCCCACCACATAATTATCTCCCCGACTAAAGTAGAAACTTCGCGATGAGCCCCACACATGGCGAGCAGGTGGACTAACCTGTCTACTTAGCAGGAAACATGCTACGTGCTAATGTCAGGCATTGGAGCGGTCAAGCGCTCAGGTTACAGTCAGCTTGTGGTCAGCTGGGGAGTGAAGAATCCAGATTTATTGTAAGGCCACAGCCGGTGTGAGCATTACAGCATTTGATCTGTGTTTGTATTGAAGGCCGATCTTCTGCGGTCAGGAAGAGATTCTCACAAAAGCCAGCGGACAGTTGAAGAAAAATTGCTGGTGACAAGTACGGTCTGAAATGATCGATGATGACCTCTTTAGATGAGTTATCCTGTTATACAGAAGACCACAGGGCACAGTTATTGGACTTGGACATTCAAAATCACTCGCACATTATAATAGAAAGGAGGTTACTTTAACCATCTATTTTGTTTCTTCTTATTCACTGAAGAGACATTTACTTTTCCCAAGTCTTTGCAGGAAGCTGAATAAACTATTCCTATTCATGTTTAAAGACTTCTTGTTTGCACTTTATCTTCACAATTATTTCTGTGCACAAATTGACAAATGCATATCAAAACCCGAGTGGAAAGCCAGAAATGATTGAAGAATTTGTGTATCAATATTAGCAACAATTTCCCCAAATTCTGTTAAATGATGGATGGACACCTCATTAAGACTGCAACGTTTATTAAATATTCTGTTGTAGAAAAAATACTATTATACATATTTACAAAGACTTATAGTCACACTTGTTTTACATTTTCATTTATGTCATATGACTGGGAGTGCTGATATCTTCCTGATGGCTTCCTGTCAGATGATGAACAGAACACCTTAAAAGAAGAGAAAAAGGAAAACAAACAATTAGCACAAATGCATCAAATCATTGCCTCTGCTAAGGATGTTTTTGGTTTCTTTGTTGTTAGCAATGTTACCAAAAATCTACTCTCCTTATTTTCATGAAACTAGGTTCAGTACGTGATTCTGTGTTGCTTATTGTTACAGTGAGGCTAAGGTCCAACAACACTTGCATCCCACGCCAAGGAGTGTGAAGGTTTACAACATACGTCACTCCTGCACCCTTGCCTACGTCTGAGGCATCGCACGCTTGCCTCTTGAGTAGCCTTTTATACTCCGACACTGATAATGACGGCCATGTGACATTTTATTATCCTGCTTTGACAAAACAGTAACTCTTGCAATAAAAACACAAAGCATCAAAAACACCTCATTTCATTTTCAGTTTTTCAAAATAAGAGTTCCTTGAAAGCCTTTCTTTTGCAGTTGAGGACATTCCATAGCAAAATAATTATAGGTACAAACTGTTAAATGTGCAACTTCTTGTATGTAGACAGACACATGTTACCTTTAAAACAGTACACTATTTGATATTTTAAGTATTTTCAGTCACAATAATAACAAACAAGAAAAACTAAATCCTGGCTCTCACCTCTTTCTCGTCATTTGTCGAGTCAACTTTTTTCCAAGTGTTGCCAGTAGTCATCTAGTTCCTGCCAGGTTTTAAGAATGTCTCGGCGCCATTGATGTTTCCTCTCCATTATCATCCTCCCGATGTGCAGCCTGCTCCTCACAAGGGCAAAATCTGGAGGGTACCAGTCTTTGGAGCTCCTTTTCTTAATACTTTGATATTTCTCTGCTTCTTCACCATGTCTGCTCCAGCTCTGGACAGGTGTGAGGCTGCCATGTTCAGGTGAAATGAACGATCCCACTGCCATGGCTTTTAAGGAACAGGCGTAAACCTCTTGGATGTTTTCTCGCTTGTGTTCGCAGCAGTGTGCAGCCCTTCATACAGCGAGTGTCTGCAGAAGAGTGAGGAAAAAGTGTTGATGCTGCGCGGTCAAAGTCTTGAGTGTTTATTGAAGATATGGATTTCATCAGCCCTCTTATCCTCTCTGTCTCAAGTTTATAAGACAACGGCCCAATAGGATTGTTTATCACAAATGTCTGTCTGACGTCCGTATTATCCCCCTCCTACGTCAATGATAACCGTATATGGGTATAATGCGCAGAACACATCAACCTACGTTTGTGCAAGAGGTTGACAATAATGTTATAAACACTATGTTTTGTCTCTCCCTTCCTTTTATGACCCATATAAAGCCTAAATGAGTGACCTTTGTTGGACTCATTATGCAGATTCAGAGTGAGTTGCATGATATCTACTGGTTGCAAAAATGCACTACAAACACTTGAAATCATGCCCAGTATATTTGTCTTATATCTAGTCAGAATATGTCTTTACACTTGCTATAAGACATAATAACTTCACAAGTAACAATGCAGTGAGATATAAGGTCTTGTTTTTAGACAATGCATCATCTTGTTAAGTCAAATAATCCTATTTTGAGTTGTATCTCAGATGAAATTTATATTTTTGTACATATTTATTGGAAACTCACCAACTAACATCAGAAAACAGAAACCTTTTGAGCGTTTGCGGCTTATATCGTAATACAGCATTTCCTGATCCTGGTAAAATATAGCTAATTACAAGATCTGATTTATCTAAATGTCCCATCTTATTTCAAGAAATCTTATCAAGTCCATTTATTTAACATGTCAGAAACAAAAGCTACAACAATAATACGGTAATAATATTTTTTTTCCTTATAATAATAATAATTATAACAAGAGAAAAGAAAAAAAACGTTCAAGGTACAAAAAAAAGAAAGAAAATAAATTCTCAAATAATCTCTGTCATGTTCAACAGGGGCAAGAAGAAGCTTAAAATAACGTTTCTGTTCCTACCCCCTCTAGCGTACATTTTTTTTGAAAATAAAAGATTAGGTCATCAGTGTCATGTTGTAAAACGTGAAAACAACTTTTTTCATTATTTTTTAAACTTGTTTTTGGAGCAGCATTTTTTCCAGTGTGGAGGAAAGACAAGAAGTGCATCTATAGTCATGATTAATGCATTGGGATGCAGACCTCACCACTGTTGTGAGCAGGAGGCATGACATGTTCTGCACAGGTATTCTGTTTCAACAGGAAACACATCAAATCGAATAAGTAGCGTGCCATTTCACGAGTACTTTGAAAGGCTGTGTCAAAGAAGTGCTCATGCATCATTAGGAAAGTGCCACGCATCGTTATAAGACATTAAAACACGGGAGTAACAGAGCGTGAGCGCAAAGGGATGTGATGACAGCGGCAGGAAGAACATGAATCTTTCAAAGGTAGACAGACACCCCTCACCCCTCCTCGAGGCTTCATTGTTTTGTGCCGCTCAAAGTAAGAAGTGTCAAAGATGGCATTGGGAAAAGTGGAGCTTTGTGCTCCCAGGACAGACTGCTCTTGGGATATCAAGTTGAGAAAAAACTGGCAAGAGACAAGAACATCTTCAAAGGCAGTCTGGGGAAGAACATTATGACAACCAAATGATCCATCAGGAATCAGAGAATGTGATGAAAGTGGTGCTTCACATTTATTCAGTTTCCCAGAGATGTAAGTTGTTGCATCGTCGCAGGTATCCCGTGTGAACGGAGGAAGGGAAAATTGTAACCATCAGTGTTTTCTTCCTTTTTTTTTCACCCAGAAGAGTGTCTTGTTCCCTGAGGCGAGCCAACACTCTGTCAAGGCCTTCATGACTCCTGCCGTTATCAGTCCTGGAATCCAGAAGTGTGTGGGCTTTGGTCTGTAATGAGAAAATATTAAACTAAGTGCCTCGTAATCCCCTCGGTTCCTTCATGGTGTGCGGAAAAACCCTCTTAAACGGATCGATGTGTGGGGGCCGGAGACTGATGTGGCAAAAGTCGTGGGATGAGAGAAAGGGCACCCTTTTTTTTCCGAGTTTATGAAAGAGGAGGGGAG